ATTCTATTCTATTCTATTCTATTCTATTCTATTCTATTCTATTCTATTCTATTCTATTCTATTCTATTCTCACTATATTGCATCTTCTTAAAGTTTCTTTCCGATACTCTGACAATATCTGTGATTAACCTTCTCTCAGCCTTTGTACTAATCTGCAGTCAACTCTTTTAATAAGCAAATTCAAAGCTAAAAAGCTTATATATGCAGAAGTGACTTATTACACTAGCATTCTGGGTTTGTCAATATGGCTTAATGGGGGTTAATTTGCCCAAAATGTGGCTTAATGGTATGAACCAGCCAGCCTCTTGTCAAATTATACATTTCTGAGAATTCAAAATTATTTGTGATCCCACTGTATGGCCTAAAAGGAGTCAAGTTAAATTCTAATTGGAGGTATTGCAATGCCATTAGCAAAGATCAACATACAATCATTGAAAAATCCAGGTGTACATAACTGCAATGGGGAATAAGAATCTCCTCACTTTTTAGCCTGTTTAGTCTATTTGGAATTTTTAAAAATAGTTCTGTGTGCCCTTATGAAATAGTGGTTGCCAAACAACACACAACACAAAGCACTTGAGTTTAGCTCCTCTCCTATATTAGATGCTTCCTCTACTTTTGTCCATTTCATAGAATCATAGGGCTGGAAGGGATCTTGTAGATCATCTAGTCCAACATCCCTGCTCAAGGCTGGAGACCTCATACCATCTGGGTCAAATGCTTGTCTAGCCTATTCTGGAAAATCTCCAGTGATGGAGCACTTTTTGTTTTAAGGAAAGACACACATATTTTTAAACAAGGCACTCTCTTGCAGCCATCCATCAAACTGATGGGACCTAGGAGTATGCTTGAAAAGGGGCGTTGGTTCTTACCTGATACGCTTCTTTTCCATCAAACTGATGGGACCTAGGAGTATGCTTGAAAATAAAAGTGATGCTGGAAGCTATCAGCTGTCAGATACTAATTTTCATTTTTTTTTAAATTAAACTAAATTCATTTTTAAAAAATATATTGGGACAAAAAGCTTGGGGGAGCACTGGAGAGGTATCTAGGTGGACAATGGCTATCCTTGTAGGAACTTTTCATCAAGAATTAAAATATCAGTCCATCAATTACAGCAACCTCTGTATATGAAAGAGCCTCCCTGCTGAAGCTGTTGGGTGTTGAGAATATTCAGAGTGTAAGCCTTTCCTGGTCCATCTTGAACAAGTCCATGGATAATCCGATCTAATTTCAGCCTGTGGTGGAAGTGCTGCCATGCTAGTGGCAGGTAAAATTGCTGAAAGATTGGGTTACAACAGCCAGGCCTTTTCAATTCTGTCCTGTCTCCTTTGGAAATTTTAAACTGAACTATGCTCACTTGTGCTCTCTTTCTCTCAGGAATTCAGGGAAGGCATTTCCTGAAAACACTTAAGGCAGAATATGCTGCCAATTGTGGCTTTCTTTCCTTAGTTACAATGACGTTTACTTTCCTAAGAACAAAAATACAGTTTTCTCACTTCCCTGCTTTTTTCTTTCTACAAAGGAACATAATTGTCTAATACACAGAAATGTGGTTCAAAAGCTTTATATTAACTCAAATTTAGTGTCATGTGTAAACCAACCATCCAAAATTACAGATGTTGAGCCAGCACAGAAATTGGAGCACAGACCAACTAGAAAACAACAAAATACATCTGACTAAACTATAGTTACATACGGAGATCAAACATATATAAAGTGCAGCAAAATTTAGTTTGATAGGGCATGTGAACTGAGCAGCCAAAATCTCCAAGGTAAACTAGCTGCCACCACCACATTCGACCCCCTCAGGCCCTTAGAAACAGGGCAGCAGCTCAGAGAATCTGCATTATTTCAAGAAAAGATCCTTAAATCTAGGCCCATTATTCCCATTTGTTTCTCATCAGCTCAAGCTTGTGCTATTTTTGTCAACCCTATTATCTACTCATCACCTTTTAATTGCATATCTAATAATAAAATTTTAAAAGGAAGAAAGCAAATTCCTGAAAAATACATAGTAAAATTCTTTCCACTTTAAATATTCATTCCTGTACCAAGCTAATGATGATTCCATTAGCTAAGCCAGGGAATATGCAATGCAGTGCCAGTAGACCCAAAATGTCAGACATTTCCCCTGCTGATGTTGGCCACCAGATATTAGGGGAATTTTCACAAACAATAACAACAGAAACAATAAATGCTAAGTAAAATATCAGATTATAGCAATAATCCTTGGGGGGCGGGGTTGTCCGTGTTTACTTTCTAAGCATTCTTAGGAAATAAAAAGTATGGGTAACTCCAATTTAATATTTTGTTTAAAATGTGCCACTTGGCTAGAAAAAAAAAAGAAAAGAAAAAATGTTGTATTGGTTGAAGAGTATTCAGGGAAGGAGTAGTTGCTTATTGTGAGTTGAAAGGATTTTGTTCTGCTCATACACAGGCACACATATTACACTTTCTCAATCCCCTTCCGCACCTCTACTCCAAGGCTGAAAATTCTCATTAGGAAGCTCTGATATTTATCAATTTGCATCTCACATGGATATGCGTAATTACAGCAGTTCTGGAATATTAATGACTAAAATTTTGTGTGTAAACGTATGCCTTCTCTATGTTTACTAAATATCTTTAGGAAAACTGATATTGGGCACAAAGTTTTACTGCAGGCTCAGCTCACTAACTGCTGTGAGTTGGAAAAAAACTTCATACATCAAGTCTTAAAACATGGTATTCTAAAGTAAGGGATATAGCAATATGTATCTTAAAAATAACTTTTTATTTGATAAATAAAATCATAGCCTGAAAATTCCAACAGAACTTACTTGGAGAACCTCTGTAGGAGAGCCGATGATGTATTCGCGTTGACGAGAGACAATTCTTTGGCGGTTATCCTCAGTGAATGTGAAGCCCATTGCCTTCGGTTAAATGGAGATGGCTCCATTCTGAAATGCAGTAATGCCTATCGGAGAATGAAAATGACAGACTGATTTTTACATAGAAATACTCTCCATCTCCTTTGAGTCATAGTAACTCCCCACTTACCCACTTTTTGAACTTCATGCTAGACCCCAAGAAGATTAGAATACAACTTTTGGTTAAAATTTTGAGAAAACATTCTCTCTGAAATATCTGTTTCCCATCCTCTAGATAAAATAGATTGCAACATCCATAATTTCCAATCAGTATTGCCATGGAATGATACGTTACCGTTCCCGGGAAACAAGATTCTCTGAAAGATGTAAAGTATTATTTCATGCAGTATGTGTCATGTTTTCTATCTTGCTAACATGAATAATGCTATGTGACAATGTATTCATTGCACATGGGAGAAACTGCTCACATTATCTGTATTTTTCACTTTTCACCTAAATTCCAGGATTCAGTGTCATCACATAACATTTAGCCAATGTAGTGCAATGAGTGCTTTGGACATGGGACATCTGCTGTTCAAATATAGCAGGGGTGCCAAATTGTTGGCCTGTGGCCCAGATGCATCATGCTCAGGCCACTCCCACCCCAGCTCCACGAAGGGGAAAAACATCGCAAAACCTCACGTGACAACAAAGTGATGCTGCAAGTTTGACACCCATGAAATACCATATCTACTTAATTATGACATGGACTTGGGGACATGTGCAAATTGCCGGTGGGTTGTTTTTTTTTTGCATTGGCACTATCTTATCAGGTTGTTGTGTACTTTTCAGCTTGAGAAGATGGTAGGAGTTTTAGAAAGACAAAACAAAAGAATGAAAGCAGTCAATGATAACTTCCCTGCTACAATCTGCCTCTTTAGAACTGATTTTTCAAATTTCAATCACAATTTCATGCAATTATAATAATTTGCTAGCAACAGGTTACTCCAGAAAACATCTGTTGGCAGTGCAGAATGGCTGAACTGAATTTATTCTGTTGCTCTGGTTTTAAGTATTGCATTACACTTTTTCCCTTGAACATTTTTCTTTGAAAACTAAAATGTTCACTATAACGAACCTTACATATAAATCTTACAAAGAAGTTTTAGTAGTAGGTTTTCTTAAGTTTCTTAGACTGTAGAGTCTAAGAAAAAGGCTGTAGTCTTTTTCATGTTTTTAGGCTAATTTTTAAAGGTATGCAGAAAAGTGTATTTTAATTCATTTGCTTACTAATATGGAGGACAGTCCAATACCAGAAAAAAGGTTTTATTGCAAAATTATACCAAAGAATGTTATACTGAGGCTGCAGCACCTTTTCCAACTAACCAATGTTGTTAAAAAGTTTTGTAAGCTGCCATTCATCCTTTGAGATACATGGAGTGACTAGACTGAAGTAGAATTTAAATTGGAATGGGGTGAGGAGAATGGGGATGAAAGACAGGTTATGTAGATGCAGGCTATTTGTGACATAGATGATCACAATAATCATAATGTGTATTAAAAACCCATTGTGTTTGAAGATGGAAAGTACCTTTAATGCTGTTTGTTCCTTAAAAAAAACCCTGACACAAACAGTGATAAGCTGTACAAGTTCTTCACTTATGAATTTTCTCATCCATACATGTACAACTAAAGGTTTATCTGGATAGACTAACTTTGTGTTCCAGAAGAACAAAGGCAAGATGCCAACTGTAATAGTTTGAGATAGCTCCGAAGTATGCCTACATTTTAAAGCATTCTAAAGCTTGACAAAACTCATCTTAGGAGCATTCTCATACCTCCTGGCACTTTCCAGTGGAGTGACATTGCCTTTATATGGAAACTTATTGGTTGTTTTGAAAGCCATTTTTTGTTGTGAGACTGGTATATTCTGTATCTTACTGTGTTTTCTTTAGAGCTGGCATATGATGTGTAAGCTGACAATTTCCTGAACAAATATTTCTGCCTCTATTGCTTTGAGTTGGTCTCGCATGCTCCAGTCATCCAAATAATGGCGTAAACCCATACATGATCACTCTACCATGGCTATCGCTATCTCTCTCTCTATATATATATATGTATATGTGTATGTGTATGTATGTATGTATGGTATTCAGCTTTGTTCTGGTATTTTCCCACGTCATTGTAGTTGTGCTTTTAAAGTTGTAGCAATGTTTTGGCAGAATCTCATCTGCCATCATCAGGCTTCTGTATTGTGTTTGTCTGGGCTGAGGTATTGGCTGATAGACACACAGCCAATACCTCAGCCACACATGTTCTTACGAAAAAGCCAGCCAATCTGCAAACAGCAACTCCATCAACTAATCAAGAAATGACAACACAACCAACCTCCCCAGCAGTATTTATAGAGAGACGGCAGCTCCGATCACGCTTTGCTCACACAAGCACGAAGCCGAAAGCACCAGCCTGAAGATGGCAAGTGGGACCTCGTCTAAACATTGCCAAGATACTATCAATCTTACACAGGAAAAGACCCGAACACGCCAAGACCTGCATATTATATATATGTATGTGTGTGTGTGTGAGAGAGAGAGACAATATACTATTAATGTACTGATTATGTGGGTGATTAAAATGTTTATACCTAATAAATTAACATATTTTACTATAAAAACATTGTTTTACGGACTGATCTAGGATTCAGAAAATTTAGTAGCATATTTGAGACTAACAATTTCATTTACAGCAGATGTTTTCATGAGGTACAGCTTATTTCATGCATGGAGTAGCTTGAATGAACTCGATTTTTTCCCCAAATTGATAACTTTTATCAACATATGAGGAAAAGATTTAGGGCTTAATCTCCAAGTGATGCTTAAAGTACTCCAAACCACCACAACCTGCATTAGATGTCTCATGATATGATTAAAGGGCACTTTAAGAAATAAGACAATCACTAATAGGGTTGATCGGTAAGGTTCAGAGCCCCAGTTTCAAAGTCTTTCTTCATTGTGAAACTTATTGGGAACCCTGAGCCAATTACTATCCACCAAAGAAACGTACAGAAATACCTATCCAATGCTCTATTAAGCCATAAAATATGTACATATATGCTGAAAATCAAGCTAAATGCAAATTATTTAATAATAAATTAAATACCCCATGATTTGTTGGCTGTACAGTAATTATACAGGCTACCGAATTGCATATACTTCTTTGCGGCTTAACATGTTTCCTGAAACCAACTCTTGTGGTCATTAAACAATGTGTCACCTAAATGTATGGCACCCTTAACCCACAACTGACACAAAATGAAGCTTTTGCTTAATAAACAAAGCATAAGCAAACCACAGTGTGACAACGTGATGGTTTGATTCACAGAAGAAAGATATAACATGGTTTTAATTTAGTCTTGTAGTTTTCAACCATATTTATGCTTTAAAATGTTGTGCTAGGGTAGCTACAAAGCTGCCTGCCACAAGGATTAAAAAAGGGAGAGAAAATTGTAAATCCGCTTGGAGGAATAAAAATATGATGTAATAAAATAAATAATGCAGGCCTCATCTTCAGGCAATTGATGAGATGTCTGTTTTTTCCTGTCCTTACCTTCCCCAGGGATTCCAAGAAAAAAATTACAGAGAGGGAGAAGGGGGAGAATTCATTTTTGACTTCTTGCTTTAGGCATTCCTGTGTAGGAACTTGTAATCAACCAGCATTGCTTTAGCAAATGAGTCCCAGGAAGTAGCTCCAGTTTCAGACACGGATGCTGAAGTCCAACAAGAGCAAGACACTGTACACAGGAAGTTCAGAAACTGGTTCTTCCACTCTGCTTAGTGAGGAAAATGGCTCAACTGTAGAAACCCTGGAAGAAGTCCTATCCCCCTGGGTGGGGACTGGCAGAAGGAATAGACTGTCTATTCTCCGACATAACAGGAACAGAAAAATGTGCCAATTATAGAGAATGTGCATTTGCAAATATAGGAGACCTAGTGAAGCATATTGAAAACAAAATGAGCTATTCAAACTCTCTTCAAGAAACTGAAGCTGTTGCTTCTACTGAGAGTCCACTGAATGGAGATAAGGCAAAAACTAGGCTGTAGAATGTAAGAATTTTCACCCCATTCAAGTGGCTAACAAGGAAAGGGTCGACTATTCATATAAGAAGTCTGAAACGTGCAACATACAGATGGGTTTTTATATAACATTTAGAACAGAAAGTTTTTGTTTGTAATTTAAGCCCTTCGTACTGCATTATGTAACAGTTCTTAGAATCCGCACTCCTCTAAACAAAATTACATTGTTTAAAGTATAAAGTACGTTTTAGTTTTATCAATCCTTTAAATTTTGGTGGGGTTACTTCCTTTGCTGTTTCTTAATCTGCTTAACTATATCTTGCATCATTGTTAGTTTTTTCCATTTGTACACTACCCTTAATAATCATATAATAATATACTAAAATTGTTCAGCATCTTCATTTGATCGTGAGCAGGCATAAAAAGTGCAAAGGAAATGCTATCCTCTGAACTGGGGCAATACCTGCAACTGTGTATACATACATCTAACTGTGTAAGATGATCTCTGTCTCTGGAAGATTCAAATTTTATTTCAAACTAAGTTGTGTCACAACATAACCCATTCAATTTGCAAGCCTTTCCTGATGTACTGGAAACCTAATCCACTTTTCCTTTATTTTGTCTTCCCGAATGGCAGATTGCAGATTGCTTTCAGGAGCATGAAATGTGAGCTGCAGCGCAGGATGCATGGCAAATACTTAGTCTCTCCAATGAAACAGAAAAACAGAAGAAAAGCACATGGGAATGCAGATCCGACTCCATAAGCAGTCACAAGAGAAGAAATAAAATTGGCATCCTAAAGTTGCAGAGGTGGTGGGATTTTGGAGTATCTGCTAAATAGTAACAGTAACAGATTTGTAATGTATGTGTGTGACTGAGGGGGCCATTTGCAAAATACATCAGGTATAAAGTCTCTATTGGTAGGATTACTACTTCTTCGCAAGATATAAAGCACCTCTCATCTTTGAACTGAGGCAGGAGAACTTTGAAAGATACAGTAATTCAGAGGCAAGAAAGGTCTTTCAAAGAGGGTA